GGTTCCCCTAGTTTGTTTAAGGTTCAAAAAGCTAGATATGAGAGAGAAGTTTACATAAAAGTATAAAATATAACAATTAAAGCGTAAATTAATATTTGAAGTAGGAGCTAATAAAAAATAAGTATTATCAATTATTTTTGTTTAATATACATGCGTATACATTATCTGCGCATGTAAAAAGTAAGACATATGTATATACGTATAGTATTTTCATGAAAATTAAATGTACTTTGTTTTACAAATTGCTCGTGTAAAAAGTTTTAAGAATGTAACCGTCGCATAAAAACATCATACATTAAACAGAAAGTTCCATCTCTATGAACACGTATAAAATTTTAATTTGTTCTGTTAGAGATTAATTTTTTTACATCTTATTTCTTTGAACCAACGTATATTTGAGTAACTTTTGGAAAATAAACTCGAAGTGCCGTTCTAATTGCGTATACGAATTATACGATTTGTTGTCGCATGTTCCTTATTCACCTGATTTAGTTCCATCAGACTTCCATGTATTTCTCCCGGTTGAAAAAAATTCTTGCTGGAAAGATTTTCATCGGGCGAAGAAGTGAAAGAAGCAGTTGACGAATATTGTGCATTACTCGACAAATCGGAATTTTGTAATACGATAATGACCTTAGAACATAGATGGCATTAATTTAAAGGGAGATTATATACTTATTTGAAAGAGAAAGAAACATAAAAATAATTATAAAAGATATTTATAATAATAATTGTAAAAAGACACATTATAAGATGAAATAAGAAACGAGAACGCCACTTTTTAGGTCCGAGTCAAGTAGGTAGCCCAATACTTTTAATTTAATATGTGAATTTATGTACCGTTTTTTCACTTGTTCTGCGCGCCGTTACTTTCGGACATATAACGCAGTTTCGTTAGGTGGAATCATTGTCGTCAGTAAATTCATGTGTTTTAATTCGATGCAACGATTTTTAATGATTTAAAAATGCTATACGTAGCATCCAATACATTCACATATTAGATTAAAATTATTGGGCTACCTACATCTTGCTCAGACCTAAAAATTAGCGTTCTCGTTTCTTATTTGATTTGTACATAATGATCCTGATTTAACTCTATTCGTTTATTTTATGGCATTATAATAGAAGTAATTATAAAAGATATACGAGCTATTTTTCTTCTTCATGCTGAGACCTTTCTAAATGACCCTGTCCGTGTAACGTCATACACATAAAAAACATTGTTGCGGGTGTACATAGACTTAGTCCCGCGGTGTAAAAATCAAGCGGTGCGGTTTCGGTACCAGGGTAATTCCACACTCGCCCTCGAGATCGATACGAGTACCGGATGGTACGGAGATAACGAATGAATGAAGAAATCTTGCGGCGAACAGAAACAATATCATCTTGGCTAGTTCGTCACCGACGCACATACGTTTGCCTATCGCAAAGCGTAAAACAATAGTTGAATGCATGAACCGGCATCAATCTCTTGTTAGCTTCCTACCCTTACCTGCTTGATACGGCAAAAAGGCTTTTGGTTTTCCGAGGTTTCCGTCCTCGGTAATAAATCTCTCAGGTTTGAATAAATGGGGCTCGTGCCAGTATAACGGATCCGTGTGAATGGCCCATTGTAATGGAACGACCATGGTATTCTTTGGTATATCGTAATCGCCTATCTGAGTATCCTGAATGGCAATCGTTCCGAATACATTTTTAATTTGACTCCGAATTAGCTTAACTTTTATACGCGCTCAGAAATATAGATTAACCATTGTTTGATCTTAGCACCAGCAAAGCAAAGATTTGACAGCAAAGATACTAGTCATGGTTAGGCTTTGCCTGTCAGTCTCCTTCCTTTCAAAAAATAAAATAAAAGGAAGGAACGCCGCGGCGCATATTTGATTACACTGATTTTTCCCTTTGTCATTTTCGCTATAATTATAGCTTACCTCTATCGTTCCATGAGGGATGCCAACCGGCACTACGCTTCGCAATCTTTGCGTCTCTACAATGGCCGCTTCCAGTCGAATTAAAAGTGGCCTGTCTTCCAAAGTGGGTGGCTTTTGACCCAACAGCTCGTCCATTTCAGCCTGAATTTTTTTCTGCACAGATACAAGGACACATGGGATTCGAAGAGATTGTGCGTACGACGGGTCTTTAATTTCCATTGGGAAGAATGTTCGCTTAAAATAATCTCTCTTACGAAAAGGCATAAATTCAAGGATACGGGCGTACTTGCTCGTCCGGATATGCTGCCATAAAGAGCAGGAACCAGCGAAATGTCGTAAGAGTTGTGTCGGTGCCTGCGCCAAAAAGATCGGCTAGCAGATGATAAAATTGCGGCTGTGTGAAGTATCCATTATCCGCATTGGTACTCATCGCCTCGTCGAAAGCCGCAAGGAAATTATCTGTTTTCTCGCGTCGAGCGCGATGCTCGTCGATAATCTTTTGATATACTTGATGCGTTTTTAATTGGCCATCGACAAGCAGCTCCATCACTTTGCCGTATCGTGGCAAAAATCTAAAGAGTCAGAAACATCCAGCAAAAGAATTCAATAGCCCTCGAATCACGTCGGTTCAAGTTAACTTCTCAACTCTTAAATGCACGAATAATTTGCTCTTTTTCACTGTAACGTATAGTTATAGCGAATTCATATCGCGCTGAGTGCACACTAAGCTTGTTTATAGTCAAGTCTTATATTTAACTTTGTCTTAAATACACGTTCAAAAAGTATTTAGCCAAAAATATGATTCGTGCGGATGCTGTACAGATCATTTTACTGGCTAAGAAATATTTCAGGAGACATTTAAGACGATCTTTAAATGTAAGAATAATTGAAACAAGCCTTAGTGTGCACTCAGTGCGCACTAGTACAAGCAACCGAATTCGCTATCGGTTAAATACCCAAAGAAAAGAAAGAGCAAGAAATATACAAAAATATGAAGAAAGAAATATATTGCTCACGTGTATAATATGTCAACTTACGCTATTCAAATAAAATGCATGCGAAGGAAGATAGAGATTCGCGAAATAATAAATACGTGTCGACGATTGTTGCGATATCCGTATATTAATAGTGTAATTACGTTATCTTACATCCGCTTTACCATCGTTAGAATAAGCTAATTTGATTTTATAATTATAACCTTTTGTTGAGGACGTTTTACCGACAGCCTTCCAGTCTAACTTATGCAAACCTAACATGACGATTTTGCATGAATAAAATTGTTCTTCGCGCTATTTTCTTTAAACAATGATTTGTATTTACTCTCCGCCATCTAGTTTAATTTATCGTGTCACTTGCGTATGCACAAAAAGACAATTACATCTACCTTTCCACGTTTATCGAAACGTACCGCCTTCGATGGAAAAAAAACACAGCATTTGCATGGTAGACGCTGAATGAATCATTATCGCATCATCAACGGTGTTAATTGGCCGTGCGGATTAATTTACTCGGGTTTTCCTCGCGGTAATACAGTTTATCTTTCGTTAACGAGGGTTAAAACGTATCGTGCGCTAAAGAAATCGGCACGACGGAAAGGATCGTCGAAGGATCTCCATCGGGAATAATTTCATACCTGAGAAATGGCAAAAAGTTGAGCGGCCCTGCGACTCCAATATGCTTAACTCCTTCCTCTTGCATATGTCTTAACCATTTCCACAACTCGTCGTCCTCCTTGTAAACTTTACCGAACACGAGGTCGTTCATCATGTTACCCACGCAATGATGAAGTGTCTCGAGCGGATCGATACCGTCTTCCATGGTACGCTTTTTAAATTTCTAAGATATCAATAAGGAAGTATCTCGTTATTATTATCTGCTCCATTCTCCATATGCCTTTAGCTAACGCGGGACCATTTTGAAAAATACCCTGGTAACACCCCAAATTCGCCTTGTTACGTTTGTCCCCAACACGACGGAGTGTCCAGCGAAAATTTTTCTCTCGATATCGCATGCGCCTGTTTTTATGTTTATGACCGTTAAGCGAAAACGATGGCATCGAAATGTCACAGAAATTAATAGCTTCATTAAATGCGATGACATTTCCAGATAAATAAATGTTAATACGCGCGAGTTGAATATTCCTTCTGGAATGAAACGCTCGGTCATCGACACGCTCGTTTAGGGGCAGATTTAGTGACACGGCGGCCTTGTGTTAAATACCCTGGGCGCTTAATTAATTTACCGACGTGCACTCGTTCACGGCCGCGACGATTCTTTGTTCCATATTGTCCCTCCTGGCACCGGGTAATTTCGTCATGCCGAAATTTTTCAGGCATCCGGTCACAAATCTTCTTTGCGCTCGCCAACGGTCACCTTCGGCGCAAATGAGGCCTGCGGAGTGCATAAAGAAACGGCGATAAGAGTCTCGTTCGAATTTCCTCCTTCCTCTCCTTTTCTCTCTTTTTTTGCCCCTCCTTCGCGCGAAGGCGATCCTCGTCGCACCTTAATCACGCGGTCATAAATAAGCCGCCACCCGAACGTGCCTCCGTCGCGTTCCCTCTTGCCGCGTGGAGGCGAGCCGCGCGTATGGTGGGAGGGTGTAAAAAATAGCGAGAGGATTACCGTCATTCCGTAAGTAGGCGCAGCCACTGAACTCGCCGAAGGATAATCCTCGAATGAATAAACAATAATCTCTCACCGCACCCACTCACCTCTCTGCGGCACGTGTGTACGCTCGCGGCATAAGCCAAGGTACGGCGGTCGTCGATTAATAGCGATCGCGATTGCTGATTAGGCTGATGACGGCGATAGTGACAAAGTGTTTATTCGCCGCTGACGCTATCCGCTCGATTCCTCCCGTTTTCCGACTATCACTGTCGATTCCTTTATTTAACCGCTCTCCAAAAATCAATCAGCGAATTATCGCTGAAACCAGTGAATAGTCACTGATTTACATTTACAAGTATACACAGACTTCTATTATATTACACTAGACCGCTAACTAAAGTTGGAAGTGAGGCCACGTTCACATTTCGAAATGTACAAGTTTTAATCCCGTAACACCAACGTTGCACTAATACAACACTCACTTCATGGGCATGCTAAATTATTCTGTCGATAATTGCATTTATTGTCTTCACTTAATACCACTTAATACCACTTTGTTATGTTTAGTATAGAGTCTGTAGTTTCTAGACACCGTGGCCGGTATTCGTGGTCCGTTCTTATATGTAAGATCATCTTAAGTATACTCTTAATGTGTTTTTCACCAATCACAGAGCCGTATTGCCTCTTAAGACAACACTTAAGATGATTTTGAAAGAAGAATCGACTATGAATACCGGCTACGCGTAAATTACTTTCTTGCCCACAGTAAAGATGGCTGCCGCTAAAAAGTGCAGAAAGTGTAAAATAAGCGGCTTCACATCTGCTATACAAAACTATAGGAGTTAGCGGTCTAGTATAATATATACACTGAGAGAAAAAAATAATTCCTACAACTATAAAAATGTGGTCAAATCAAAATTTATCTCTCAAAACTATAATGACTTGCCCTTTGTTGCGCCTTACAGTTTTTAATATGGGGTGGGGTATCAATAGGCTTCCTATTAAAAAATTCAATTTGTTAAACTAATTGTTAAATTGTGTTAAATTACATAGTCATCAAAAGTATATTCAGGTTATTGAGGTTGATCCATGATCCAGACAACTCGCTCTCACATCATATCGGCTCGCCTTTTATACTAATACGGGACGATTTTTACTTACGAGAAAGACTAACGCGCGGTCGCCACGTCGCGGCAGTATGTGGTACTAGTGCTATCTATTCAGGAGGGAATCAGGCGTACGTTTATGTTATTCTTCCCCTGAAGTTTGTGCAACTATAATTCATTAGTTCTTGTAATCGCTCAGTCTAGTTGTAATAATTATAAAACACTTCATAGAATTAAAGTAATATAGTTGATGTTATCTTTCCCATGAAGTTTGCGCAACTATAATTCATTAGTTCTTGTAATCACTCAGTCTAGTTATAATAATTATAAAACACTTCATACAATTAAACTAATATAGTTGATGTTATTTTTCCGATAAAGTTTGCGCAACTATTATTTATTAATTCTCTTAACCATAAATTTAGTGACGACAATTATAAAATAGTTAATTAAACTATGCAAATAATTCTATGACTAATATTTGTATAGTTCTCACCTATATAGTTGCCGTTACTATAATTTTTTCTCTCAGTATAGGAGTCCGTGCAAGTATACCACTGCGATTTTCAATGGTAGGTAGGTATTTTTGACTGAAAATCAGCGACTATTCACTGTTTTCAGTGATAATCCATTGATTGGTTTTTAGAGAGTGCATTTTCTAATTTCCTCCCAAGTTCCCCTTTCTTGAACGCGCTCACTTCATATGAAATTAATTTCTTCAAATAGAAAAAGATGACAACGGCAATGCCTAAGTACGGATGAAATCTCGGGAATCGATTTAAATTCATTCTTATGTACGCAAGCGGTCGCGCTGTAGTTAATGGAAATAATTATGTATTCTTTTTTACTGCAGGCTGGGTAAATTAAAGGATTATTAAACGAGAGACTTTATTAAGATCGAGAGGCGAGACTTCGCGCCGAAGAGTTTACGCATCTGCGCCGCGGCGGTGAAGGTGTGTCGCTCATGTACATCTGCTACGTCGACTTTGCAGCCAGATCACACGCGAGAGTGTCGCCGGCGCGAGAATGATCTCGGAATCTTGATCATTGGTCAATGAGATTATCGAGGTTTACGGTCGCGGTGCCGCGGGAATACAGATCGGGATCTATGGCGCGCAATTTATCAGATTGGTATCTCGGATCCTCTATTCTCTCTTTCTTTATGTCACGCGCGAATCCCTTATCACTCACGTAAGGAAAAAGAGACGAGCAGAAGTACATGTATCGTATGTACAACGAGATATCGCGCTTTTTAATCGGTGCTGGCCGAGAGTGGGAATCGCCTTGATTTTCGGCAGCGCGTCTTTCCGAGGAACGAAAGCGAACTTGCGTCGGGATGAGGGACGAGTGTTTCTGCGAATTTAGAATTCGTCATGTTGCACGCTCGAGAGCGACGAGCGTCGCGAGAAGAAGAAATAATGAAAGTCCGCCGGGGTATAAACGGGTCACCGCGCGACTGCGTGTTTGCGATACTATTTATCATTCGCAGCTTGTTCTAAGAGGCAGCGCTGTCGATAGGTCAGTGTCGTATTTAAATGACGGCAAGAAAACTTTCCGGGATCGCAGGTGCGCCACGTGTGCATTAATCTTTCCTCGCTGATTGATCGATCTTAAATTATCTTCCAAGTACGTGCGAAGAAATAAAATTCACGCGGTGTGCATCTAACTAAACTTTCTTCTTCTTCTTCTTCTTCTTCTTCCTCGTGTATTAGGCTTAAAGCCTGTTTTATCCAGTTCTCGTTCTGGTACTTGGATCATTTGGTTTGACTTTATCTTTGATAGGGTGCTAACCTCCCCGAAGGAAACTTCCCATCTGGAGGGCTATATCCCTAAAGGGGTATATGTGTGGCAAGATACTCTCGGTGGTTGCCACTTCCCTCCGGGAGATTCCGAAAAAAAACGTTAAACTTTCGATCGAATAAATTTTATATTTCTTCACGCTACATCGCTCGTATAGCAGAAAAGTATTGTGTGTTACAGTTTTCCATTCGATGTTCGTGTATTTTGTAGTAACTAAATTATTATACTATTTTATTCGAGGCAATTACAATCTCAGGATTAAGTATTGAGCGTTTATTTCGAAGCTTTGAGACGCAAAAAGAAATATTCTGTGTCTCGGTAACTGAGGCCGGGATTTATACGAGGTCTGTTCAAAAAGTATCGCGAATTTTGAATTTCCGCGGGCTACGTATTCGATTTTCGATTTTTTGTGGCGTTATGTTGGTACTCATGTCCCTCACTCATGCTGACAAGTTCGGCCATTTTGAATGTTCAGTTAATTTTTGACAGCTATTTTGCTTGGACGTGTTTTGGCTCGTCTTCGATTTTTGTCTATTCCAAGAAATGGATCAAAGAATATGTATCAAATTTTGTGTGAAAAACAAAATTAAGTGCGCGGACGCATTCCGAATGTTGACTGTGGCATATGGTGAGGCTACCTTGAACCAAAGCAACGGTGGTACAAAATGTTCTCAGAGGGCCGAGAAGATGTGAACGACGAAGAGCGTGCCGGACGCCCGAGCACGTCAATAACAGACGAAAACATTGATGAAGTGAAGAAAATAGTATTGGCCAATCGTCGAATCACCGTTAGAGATGTTGCTGAGGACCTAAACATATCGATTGGCTCGTGCCATTCGATTTTTACCAATGATTTGGGCATGAGACGGGTCGCCGCGAAATTCGTACCAAAATTGCTCACTTTCGACGCGAATTTTTGGCCAAAAACAACACACTAATGATGCCGCAGCCACCGTATTCCCCAGACCTGGCCCCCTGTGACTTTTTCTTGTTCCCGAAACTGAAGAGGCCCACGAAAGGACGACGCTACGCCACGATTGAGGAGATAAAGACGACATCGAAGGAGGAGCTGAACAAGATCACAAAAAAGGATTTTTTGAAGTGCTTCGAAGATTGGAAAAAACGTTGGCACAAGTGTATAATATCTGATGGGGATTACTTTGAAGGGGACAACATAGATATTCATGAATAAATAAATAATTTTTGAAAAAACACAAAATTCGCGATACTTTTTGAACAGACCTCGTAGTCGGATCTTATATTCAAGACAGTCTTGAATTTACTGGCTACGAAGTATCTAAGGATGATCTTGAGATGTCTTGAACACAAGATCTGACTATGAATACTGGGCCTGACTGTAACGCATTTCCTTCAGTTTTAGGGGAATCCACTGCTCTAACAATATATCGCGAGATATTACAAATTCCACAAGAATATATTCGAAATATGTAGAGATAAGACTGTGCGTAGCTCCGAAGAAGGAATCTCCAAAAGGAAATGACTGCTTATACAATTCTAACTTTGCAGTTCGTTTGTTTTTCATCCTCGCAATGCATCTGCGCGGCAGGTGCGAAGCGGGGAGCGGGCGGGGGGAGGGGGGGGGAGAGAAGACTACGGACAATGAGCTCTCCTTGCCGCGGCCGATTCTTACGCAACTAAACACCCCGCGGTGATTTCAGGGGATGACATCACTCGGGCACGGGCACGGCGAGGATAGGAGGCGCTCACCACGAATTCGCGAACCGCCAGAAATAAACCGGACGGGAGACGGATAATGCATACGCACGTTCGAACGTTTCAGGGCCGGTCATTCCACCTTCGACCGGCAAAAACTCGACGAGTGCAGCGCGAGATGGAGGCGATAGTCGTCCTGTCCAA